AGCATGTAGAACCAAAGGGAAAACGCCCACGACATACACATCAATATACATACCACCAAGAAAGCAAACACCCAAAGAAACAAAAAAACAACTACAAGACCTAATCGATCAACTACCTAAACCATTCATACTCATGGGAGACTTTAACGCCCACAGTACACAATGGGGTAGCTTCAAGAATGATAGATGGGGCAAAGTAATACATGAACTCATACAAGAAAACAACTTAAAACTACTCAACAATGGAAACAGCACGAAAATAAGCAAAAACTACACATGCCTATCGGCAGTAGACATAACCCTAGCGTCAGAAAACTACAATAACAACCTCATATGGGAAACAGATATAGACAACAGAGGAAGCGATCATTTCCCAATAACCTTGAGCAAAAACAACATAAAAGACAACAACACAGAAAAACTTAAATGGTTAACTAAACAGGCAAACTGGGAAAAATTCCAAGCAACACTAATCAAAGAAAATAGAACACATCACATAGACAAAATCATCAAAGCAATCCAAACGGCGGCAACCATCAGCATTCCCAAAACCGACGGTAAAACCAAGCACAGAAAAGTCCCCTGGTGGAACGAAGAAGTAATGAAATGCATCAATAAGCGAAGAAAAGCACTAAAACGACTAAGAGAACACAAGGAAAATAATGACATCAAAAAATCACTAGTAACTAAACTCAAGAGAGCAAACTCCAGAGCCAAGAAAATCATTAGGGAAGCCAAAAAAGAATCATGGTCAGAATTCTTAGATAGCATAAACCCAGATTCAGATCCCAGTGACCTATGGAACAAGATGAATATAGGGTAAATGTCGGCTTCGGCACCCATTGACTGTTTTCGGCAATCAAAATTTAAACGTTAATTTCACTATGTTTTACCATCAACACACTTCCCTGAATGTATCCAAATGATTCTTTAGTCTTCCAGCTTCAATCTGATTATATTTGTAGGACCGAGCAATCCTTTTATGCCAGATTTTTCTTCAAATGAAGCATACGTAATACAAAATGGGGCTGATTTCGAGTTGCCGATAATAGAACAGCTGGTTAACACGCAGTTCTAATGGGAAGGTTGCCGAAGAAAAAGAGGCTGCCGACAATAGTCACACTCACCTGAGAAGTTTAGAGCGTTGTAAAAACGCTTTCAAACAGTTTTGAAGAATTCTGTCGATTGGAATGGATAGAGAAGCAAGCAGCAGATGAATTGAAACAAACAGACACGTCATATATGTGCGTGACGCTGTGAAAATGCTAATAGAAGTGCGGACGCTGCTTAGATTGACGAGAATACGTAAATTCCCCTACTAAGCGGGAAAAAGAAAAGAGATGAAATTACACTCACCGAGGGAACACAAATAATAAGCGACAAAAAGACAATAGCCGACAGACTGGCCAACTACTTCTATGACCAATCGGCAACAGACAAGTACACAAGTAAATTCCAAAAGAGAAAAACCGAACACGAGAGCACAACACTAGATATGAACCTACAGGGTCAACCTAAAATATACAACAAAAACTTCTCAATAGAAGAACTGAAAAAAGCACTAAGCGAAGCAAAAGGTAAAGCAGCTGGAATGGACGAAATAAGCTACGAGATGCTAAGAAAACTACCCATCAACACCAAAACAACACTACTCGAGGAGTACAACAGAATCTGGAAGGAAGGGTCCATACCAACAGAGTGGAAAAACGGACTGGTAATCCCAATTCCCAAAGGAGGAGAAAATAAACATATAGAATCAAACTACAGACCAATAACCTTACTTAGCTGTACAGGCAAAATCCTGGAAAAGATAGTCAACAGAAGACTAATAAAGGAACTAGAAGAAAATAATAGACTGAACCACAACCAATTTGCTTTTAGACCAGGAAAAAGCACGGATGACTACTTCATAGATCTAGAGAATATACTAATGAAATCCATTCGAAATGGTAAACATGCGGAATGTGCCTTCCTGGACATCTCAAAGGCATACGACAGAGCATGGCGTAGGCCAATACTTGATAAACTATGTGAGTGGGACATAAAAGGGACCATGGCACAATATATACAGAATTTCCTAACCGATAGAACATTCCAAGTAGAAGTGGGAAACACGCGATCAAATACTAAAACACAAGAAAATGGCATACCCCAAGGAGCAACCTTATCAGTAACGCTATTCCTAATAGCAATGAACTCAGTTTTCGAACAAATCAAAATCAACAAAAATATCAAGATACTAATCTACGCAGATGACATAGTCATAATTGTAATAGGCATAGTTAAAAAGAAACTAAGAACTAAACTACAAAACACAGTAAACAAAATTGTAAAATGGGCAAACAACATAGGATTCACAATAGCCCCACATAAGTCTAAGATAATACACATATGCAGAAGCAATGGCCACACAAAACTAAAAAACATCACAATTAATAATGAAGAGGTACCCCTAGTAAATTGTGCAAAACTACTAGGCGTCACAATAGACTCCAGACTAAACTTCAGAAAACATATATCAGAACTAGCTACCGAACTAAAAAATAGAACCAACTTCATTAAGGCCCTTGGTGGAAGATACAAAGGAGCGAATAGAAGAACTTTACTAAGAACATTCGATGCACTAATCATGTCAAAACTATTATACGGGGCCCACCTCTACTATTTATGACGGTTCAGACAACAAGATAAAACCACTCACCCCAATATATAACCAAACAATAAGAAAAATAACCGGAGCATTCAGAACATGCTCAATAGCGAACATACTAGCGAAAGCAGGGATCCTACCCCTAAACACAAGACTAAAACTAAACACAATAAACAAGGCCATAAAGAAACTGGAAAGAACCGCAAACAACAAAACCCAAAGATCACCACTAGTAGGCAGAGCGAACAACTTTGCCATAGAACTAGCCGGCGAGGAAATACCGAAAATAGCTAAAAGAATACAAACGCAAGACAGAAAATGGTACAAACAAAAAACAAAAATAGACTGGACATCCAAAAACACCCTAAAAGCAGGAACACAAAACAACATAGTTGCAAAAGTGTTCCTGGAAACAATACAAAAATACCCCAACCATAACAAAATATACACTGATGGATCAGTTAAAGACAATGAAGTAGGCTGCGGCATTGCTGACAATGACACCAACAAAAGCATAAAGCTAAATAAAATGTGCACTATATACTCAGCGGAAGCTAAAGCCCTGGTATACGCAACAAGACACTCCACATCAGTGGATAAAAATACCATAATCTTCACGGACTCAGCGGGATGCTTAGCAGCCCTTGACAAAGGAAACTCAAAACACGCATGGATTGAAGAGATTGAAAAATACGCGAACAAAAACAGAGTAACGTTCTGCTGGATCCCAGGTCACACCGGGATTACAGGAAATGAACTAGCAGACAAACTAGCAGAATTAGGCAGAGCAAGCCAATCAAACTTTATGAAAGTACCGGCACAAGATGCTATAAAATGGTTCAAGCAACAAGCGATACGGTCAAACGAAGAGGAATGGTTAAACACAAATACATCATTTCTCAGACAAACCAAACCAACAACACTACCATACAATGACAGGAAAAAAGCCTCAGAACAAAGAGTATTAACTAAGGTAAGACAAGGAAAAACATGGATATCAGATAGTTATCTAATAAAGAGAACAGACAGACCAAAATGCAGACATTGCAACATCTGGCTAACAGCAGACCATATCATAAGAGAATGCTGAGCGTATGATGCTGAAAGAGAAAAATACCAAACCTCAGGTATATCAATATAACAATAACTCACATGAGAACGAGAACAACCTAATAAACTTCCTAAGAGAAACAGAAACCTTCCACAGAATGTAAAACACAAATAAGAACAACAGATACAAAAAGCGGTAGCAAATCAACACACTACTACGCAGTTCACAAAACTTTTCCAAGTTCCTTTTTTTCTGAAGGTCTATGAAGTTCCCAGAATGTCTACCAAGTTTACTTAATTTCTACGATCTTCCCTGGAATTTTAAAAAGTCTTTGAAGTTTTCCGAAGTTTCCAGAAGTTAAAGAAAAATCACTGTTAAATAGTCACATCAAACTTAGCAAGCTTGACAAAATACCGATGAGTCAAAAAAAAAACCTTAACAATTCTGAAGGGGGCCTAGATAATTCTGGAGGGGGCCTAGCCTGGCATGATGAGTACAGAGCAGTGTACAATGTCTACACTTTAACTCCTGAGACCACAAGAAGCCAAATTATGTCGCCCATTAAAGATTAAAAATCAGATTAGGTGCAAAGTGCAATCAACGTCACTATTTTCTTTTACTGATGGATCTTGAATAACTACCGAGCGTCTCCATTGAAATGAACATTGCACTGGAGTTTCTAGCAAATTTCCTTAACCGAATTAACTGTTTTAAACTGATGGCAATTTGAACCATCCTCAGTCCCATGCAGCAGAAGCTAGCGTCCCCGATGCGCATGCCTTCGAACCGTCATCCATCCAGCTCCGTCAAAATAGCCCATCGACCGTGTGAACCTTCCCTTATGCTTGCGGCCAGGACCTATCCCAAAAGACGCTGTCACCCGTTCGGACGAAAACACAAACCCGAACCGACTTCATCCAGTATGTGCACATGCGCCCACCTCGGCAGCCCCACGTAGGAAAGACCTAGCGACGAGGCGGCTCGCACCGGAGGCCCCATCCAACGGTCGGGTCAGTCTTCGGGTATTCGTGCTTGCTGCATGATTGTTGTACGGCCGCCACCGTTGCTATCGAACTAATAGGGCGAGATCAAGAAAACGGCGCGTTCTGTCCACCCCTCGCACTGTCCGGGCGTTCCATACGGTCTGGGTGGCTGTGTTGTCTCCGTGCGTGGCAGCTGGAAGTCCAGAGGAATTTTAAGATAATTCAGGAGGCATTCAGCAGTGATTAATCCAGGATGGATCTCCACCCACCGCGGGATCCCGTGAATTGTGAAGCAAAATCAATTTCCTACATCCTACGGGATGACAGTGAGTGAAATCCTAGCCTGAAAAAAAAGGAAGAAGAATATCACAGTGTTCACAGCAGCAGGGAAATAGTGACGGATGCTGCGGGATGCTCTCTTCGGTGGTCCTGGCGCTCTCGGCTTGGCGTTTGTGTTTGGTGAAGTTGAAAGCTGCTGGTGTTGGTGCTGGTGAGTGCTTTCGCGAGTGAACGAGGAAAACAAATTTCTCGATTGGGTGGATTGCTGCTGCTTCCCTTCTGCCAGATGATTGCCATTTGTGAAGGGTTTTTCTCTAATTGGCAGCTCTGAAGTTGAGGGTTGATTGTGTGAATCAAAGATCGAAGCTTCACCGTTTTGTTTGTGGAGCTGGAATCGGAAGAAGAGTCACTAGGCACGGCCAGATTGTATGGGTGAAATGTCAAATAAGATGAGTGTTTAAGGGTGTTGTTTTTTTTTTCCTGGGAGAAAGGAGCAGGGAAAAAATGCACTCGTACAGTTCTCGGCCAGTGAGGAAGTGCTCAGGCGAGTGAAGTCCTAAAGCATAACACACTCAATCTGGCAACTGATGGAAATAGTGTAAAAGTTGCGAATAAATGATTGCGATTCAGATTGGGCTAGGTCAGCGTGTGTGAAAAAATCGTAGTCGCGAAATTGCCTGCGTGCTGATCCGTGTCAAGTTCGCTGTGTTGTTGTTCAAATTGCCGAGGCAGAAAAACATAGTCAATCGCCCAGTGGGTGGCGAAAGGCGGAAACAAGTGATAATGATGATAATTTAGTGCATGTGAGCGTACAAGTGCAAGGGAAACGAAAATCCTGTCGGTGAGAGTACTTCAGCTGTATAATAGCACTTACGTGTCAATCCGTCTATGTCTGCGGAGCCAAGCACCTACCTTAACCGGAGAAACGGGGGTGGAAAACAAGAAATGTAATTTACCATTTCTTCCAACTTCCTGCTGCCAAGTGGATCCCGTACAGTTGGTTAGTTATATAGTTGGTGCTTGTCGAAAGTGATGTGAAGTGAGGATTAGCGCTGTTCTCAAGCTTCGAGCAGTAATAAACAGAGGATTAACATAAGTAATACACTTACGGCTGCCATTGTCATCCTCTGCTGGCCGTCATCAACATCACCATCATCATCATCATCGCCGTCAGTGAAGAACGAACGAGACGGGACTCAAAACTTTCGGCAAAGGAATAAGGGTTGCGAATGTGGTGAGTGTTTGTTTTACGACACTTTATTTTGTTAGCAATTTTGGATCTTCCCTGGATGGGGGGGGCTCGGATTATGGTCATAACTTTTATCATCGTCAGTGGGCAGTTGTTTTTTTTTGTTTTATTTTCGCTTCCTTAAGAAGATTGGTGGCGGCCGAGACGGGAGAAGGTCCGGCAGGGATTGTGTTTTATTTTGTATTTATGTTTTCCACTTTGGCACGAGCTGCCGAGGTTTTGATAGAGGACGAATGATAGCGTTGCGACACGCTGCAGTTAGTGATGGCAATCAAAGTAATTGAGTTGATTCAGAAGTTAGTGGAGATTTTACTGTACATCGAACCTTTGTTGGAACCAGTGCACAGTGGTTTAAAAGTGCAATGCTGCGATTCATTAGTTCAATAGTGGCACAGTGCTTGACTATAAGGTCGTAGTGTCTTCGGAAGAATTGCTCATATTGAAGTTCCTCACATGATGAAAATGTCGTCGGTTTCATGCAATCAGTATTTGAAAATTTGGGTTCTAAAAATCTTATGCGTTTCCGCGATAACTTTCAAGTGAATTTTTAATTGTTAACTCTTTATCTGTTCCAAATTCAAATGAAATTACCCACATGATAAAAATATGTTAACTAACTCATGGCCTACTATGAAAAAAATTAACTGAACTTTTTTTTACTTTCAAATGAACGGTGATTTCTGATATCTGTTATCACAATCAACTTTGATGAAGATGTTAAATCGCTATATTGAATATTTCTTGAGATATCCCAAGTAACATTTCACGTTCAACGTTTAATAAAACCATTCCTAAAACTCTGGTCAAGACAGCTTTACCTTTATTACATCCACCAAATTACACCTCATTAAGACTACAATCTGTCTAGTTGGCCCACCCCGAAGAAGGTTTTGAGGGGCATATTTTTGAGGCACTTCAAGATTGATTTACTGCAAAAAGGTAATACGATGAATGCAGTGAGAACCATTTAGAATCCTTATTAAATCTTCAATAAAATCCATATGGCATCAATACTGGTGCAATTGGCCTTTGACGCTTGCTAAGCACACTATAAATAAAGCATCAATCAAGATAAAACGGAATTTATAAATATTATCAGATCTTGTCACATTCATTGTTCAAAAATGAAACCGTCAAAAATTCCACCTAAATGTCCTCATCATTAAAGTGAAAAAAAAAAAATACAAAAAATATCAAAACAGGTCTCATTTTGTGGTCAATTTTTAGGTGATGGATTAAATCTGATGTGAAATGTGCTTCGAAAGACCGAAAAAATAAGTCCGCCTTTGGAAATAGTTGATTTTACAAAAAAAAATAACAAACATAGTATAGTTATTAGAGTCTAGTCTAGTCTAGTCTACACATACACAGCCAGTACTTGAAAGAATCCTGGAAAATGATACATCTATCATTTTTCTTGTCATTATTAATGCCTGCTGCACATCAAGGATGTGAAACAAACAATAAAGCGGCCAGGCCTACTGTGTAGCGTTTAGTTAATTTTTGTGGAAGTGAATGTTTACCATGTCTACTTAATAAGTATAGACAGTGGTTAACATTTAATCCACAGGTAATCAAAGAGCGGGGACATACCGTACCAACCGCTCCGTATGCAGGATTTGAAAATAGGCTATATAAATCGTTGGGAGTGACAGAGCTAAGAAAGTTAATGTACACTCCTTGGTTGTCCGATCTCCTGGGATGGAACACAGGTATTTACCCCTTGTGTTCGAGCGTACAGTCCTCCCTCCGTACAAGCGTGGACGGCACCGCCAACCCACTGCCATCCCTCAATCGATCCAGCCGACCTCAGTCGAAGGACAACAGAGAGCGGTGTGCGGACGTAACCCATACGGAGGGAATGCTGTATTCGACTAGGTTATAGCGCCCTTGCTCGCTACCATTTTCTTCTAGCGGTTGGGACCTGAGCACTAACTCTTGTCCTAGCCCTATATGGCATATGGTTATAGCGCCATTACTCGCTTTCTGAAAAGAGAAGAAGGGAAGGGAAGGAGAGGAAAAGGACTTGGGAAAAGGAAATGCGGAATTCCTTTCCTCATATAGTATTTGTATCGTCAACTTTTATGAAAACTATATAAATCATTTTTCCTTGGTCAGAGGTATTATTACGACATTTGAATAAGATTGTCTTATCATTTGTTATTCAAAATTTAATGTTATAATGATCAACATAGCTTTGGATTATCCAATATCCAAATCGGTAACACTGTCCTGCAACCGATGATTTTTCTAATCCGAAAACTAAAAGTTACGAAAAAGCACTTAGGCCTTCATTAAGTTCCACTTTCACGCGACGTTCAATGTTTCGCGGTTTGCTCTTTACGCATTGTTCAGGCTATCATAACAAGCTATGACCGACGTGACGATTGCTTAAGTCCTGGTTAAACAAGTAAACAAGTTATTAAAATGAAATCATGTTCCCGAAAGCAGTCAACAATGTATCTTAAACCGGATCAAGCGTGCGCCCTATTTTTCTAAACATTCCGACGCGTTCCGCCCAATATCTATCAATTACGTTTTTCTACAATAGTAGCCTGGAATAAATCCTAATTCGACCGACACGTGTTTGTTGAAAAATTCTTTTTTTTTTTTTTTTTTGGTTTGTTTTTTCCGTCGATCTTGTTTTCCGTGCTGAGCACCAATGCTACCGACGTGCCAGGAAGGCAGCTCCCACACCTGGACCCTACCTATCGACCCATCAACTCATGAACCGGGGACCAACGGCTTTACTTCCCATCCGAAGGAAGGCGTAATCAGAGATGTTATGCCTCAGAACATCTCGGCGGCGCCGACTGGGATTGAACCCAGGCCTGCTGGGGTGAGAGGTAATCACGCTTACCACTACACCACCGGCGCCGTTGTTGAAAAATTATATTCTGCCTAATATCAGTAGTCAGTAGTCATTAGGAAACCTGTTACTATATTACCACATATGTATCCTTCTTTCATAAATTTGTTTTACGAACATGATCTAACACAACCTTTTTCTATGACAAAACTATATTCTGATAAAATTGGATCATTGCCTAGACCAACTATTGAAACTAAAGAACAAAACAATTGGCCACGTGTCTGGAATAATATTAACTTAAAGAACCTGAACTCAAATGAAAAATCTATTCTTTATTTACTTTATAATAGGAAAATTGATCACAGAGCTCATTTGTATCGCATAGGTATTGCTGACAACCATAATTGCTTATCATGCGGATTCCTCGAAGATCTTGAGCATATATTTTGTAAACGTTTTTCGGTCAATCAGTCATGGAACTATTTTATTAGACATTTACTAAACAGATTTGATCCTCGTTTAATGCGCTTCTTAACCTTTTCCAGTTTGATAGCTCCAACCTTAGAAGAGTTTAGCAGGGATGACAAAATTATGATTCTAAGAAAATTTGTTCAGTTTAGTCAATATATTTTGGAAACAGAACGACATATGATCTCCTTGCCTAGCTTCAAATTCTTCTTAGAAATAAATGCCTGTAATTAGTTTAGAATAGCTTAGCTTGTAAGACATGTTTATATGTTAGGATTAGAATAAAGATTTTATAAAAAAAAAAACAGACTAATTTTGACACATTTGACTGATGCAATTTTTCATTCGTTCATTTATTGTATGTACTGTATGTATCTACAATCACACTCCTGTCTGGCAGTGGTCTGGCAGTGGTATTATGTATAAAATCTACCTGTAACCATTTCTTTATGACTGCAAAAAGTTTGAACTCTGGAGTTCGAAGGTGATAGCTTTACCGTATACCCATTAGCCCATTTCAAGATCGCATGCTTCCGAAGATTTTGCTTACAATAAGCCCCGCTCCGGTACAGTATCGATGCTGATAATGTACTGAAACTTTTTATAAAACAGTAGCGCAAAATTTGATTGACGCGTATTTAATGATTTAAACAAAAATATTTACGATAGAATTACCACAAAAATTAAGGAACGAGCTCACCAAATTAGTATCCAGAAAAGAACGACATGGCTTAACAGGGTTTAACCAATGGGAATCTTTTCTTTCCATGCTGATTTCACGGTCTAAATCACTAACACTGGCACAACACGGTTACTGAATACGTAAAAACTGAACTGGACTATACATTTGGAAATAATTCAAACGAAAATTCTTCCGGATGGCGTAGCGCCACCAGCCAAAACGCTGACAGAAGATTATCGCAAAAATCCCGACAATAGAAAACAAACACGTTTAATCGCGGCCAAGGCACACTTCGATCTCCGGCGAGAAATGCATCATGAGACCTTTTCAAATCAAAGTGAACTTAAGTGCTGATTAGACAAAATTGAATCGCAAATTGAGCTTCATTGAAACATAGTATAGTTATTAGAGTGATGCAAAATTTGAAATTTTCACTCCACAATACTTAAACGATTCCACATCGGATCCTGACTAGCCTCTCAAAATTTGAACCCATTTGGTGAAAAACTGAGATGGCACAAACCATTTGTAGTTTGTATGGAAATTACTATGGTAAAGGGTGATCGGTCAAAATTTGGTCAAGGGAAAACGCGTGTAAATCGGTGAAATCGTTTATTTAAAAAATCAAATTAAATTTCTTTTGACGTAGGACTACGTCTTTGATTTCTATATGGGGGTACACTTTGTGAAAACCGAAAATGGAACATGTAACAAATTAAGAAAGATTTTGAACGTTAATAACTCAGCTACCCCTGGTCCAATTTCAATCATTTTATCACCAATCGATCAGAAATATGGCTACGCATTGATAACAATGCTTCCGAATGTTGATTTTCAACAAGAAACTATTGAAAAACTGGTAAATGTTCAGCATTGTCCAAAAGCGTCGAATTAACTAACAAATCCACCAATTACCTACATGCATATGCTGCTTCCCCAGCACAGTCGACAGAGAGTAGTAAGTAGACGAAACAAGTCGAAGTGGCATTCGCCTTCGATCCTCGGGCGCGTGCGAATAGGGAG